ATTGAATCATAGATTTCAAGAATGTGATGCTCTGTCACAGTAAAATTACTGCCAAGATTACCGCAACATTTTTTGCTTTGTTTTGTTTTTTGGTTATTGTTTTTTAAGACAAGTTTCTCTGTGAAACAGTCCTCTATCCTGGAACTCACTCCAGGTGGCGTGAGCCACCTCTGCCCAGCTCATTACCCAATTTTTAAAACTTCTCTTAAAAGATGAAAAACTGGGTTCATTTTGTTGCTATATTTTAACACATTAAAAACAATCAAACACCACCTGTAATCTCCTGTGCTCCAGGGGCTCACTATTAATATATAAGACATTATCATCATGACCAATCAAAAGTACATGTCTGAGTACCCCCCACACACACACCTGAAACGCACTGATTTCAGTGGTAAGTTGTATGCAATTTTGCAGAGGTATAACCCAAGATTGAAGGACATATGAATGCAATTAACAAATGACCACATGTCCACTAACAGAATCATGCCAATTAACACACTGTATCTCAGTTCCCACGCCCACAAAATTCGAAACCACAAACCCTACAAATTTAAAATTCTATTTTTGTTTCCTTATGCATTCGCTAAAAATTAAATGTGAGGAGTATAATTTTAATACTTAGTGTTATTTAATGACACTTAAATGACATGAAATTATTATAAATGATGAAAGTACAAAGGAATTTTTAACATTAATGGCTGGGTACTTGTTTCTGTCTCATCTCACTAGGATTTAAAAAAGACAATAATTCAATAAGAAAATAACAAGACCGCCTTTAATCCCAGCATTCGAGAGGCAGAGGCAGGTAGATCTCTGAGTTTGAGGTCAGCCTGAACTACAGAATTAGTTCCAGGACAGCTAGAGTTACACTCAGAAATCCTGTCTCCAAAAAAAAAAAGGAGAAACTAACAAGAAAGAAAATGTCTTCTTTTATCTTATTTCCTTTGTGCTGTTGGTTATGCAAATACACATGCACGATATAACAGGAGGCAAACACAATGCTCAAGTTAAAAATCCCCAAGCTGGGGCTAGAGTTGGCTCAATAAGAACAATGCCATCATTCTTCTCTTGCCAAGGACAAGGTTTGGTTCCGAGCACCCACACAATGGCTCACAACCATCCTGAACTCCAGTTCAGAGGATCCGACACCTTCTTAAGGCACTGCCCAGTGGGGCACAGATAGTAACTCAGAAAAAACACTTATATACATAAAATAAAAATTTTAACAAAATTGCCAACTAGAAAGCCAATTGATAATAACCAAGCTAACTGCAGTATCATCCAAGATGTTAACAATTCAAGCAAATTCACCTTTTTCTCAACACCATGAACAAACTAACTTGAAGCACCCAAAAAGAGGAGCACATGGGGAGTGAGTGAAAGCATACCTTTTGATGCCTTTCCTGCAGACACCGCTCGTCCGCTCTCCCCCTTCCAATTCTGCACATTATCTTGCTCCAGAACCACTGACAGAGCCTTCTGGACATCAAACTTGTTTCTGAGAACTGCTTCAGTCAGTATGTCATCAGGCACAGCATCTCCCAGGACCTCTCTCATGTGATCAAGGCATGAACAAAGTCGAGCTACAACACAAACAGATAAAAAGCTGTACTGCACAGCATCTTCAAGGAGCTCTAGCTCTTCATATTTAACCATGCTAGGACATTGAAACCTCCCTTCTCTTCAGTGGAAAATACTCATAATGGCTATGTTTTACCTACTGTGTACTTGTCTTCTCACATCTCATTAATCAAGAGATCAATGTAATCAATGTTTCTGCATAGCACTTAAAAACTACATTAATTATATACAGAAATACTTATTCTCATACAGGGTGAGGTTACATGTTTCCAATTGCTTAAGAATACAAATGGATAGAGCTGGAGAGAGGGTAAGAGCAGGTAGTGTTCTTACAGAGGACCCATTTGGTTCCCAAACACCCATGTTGGGTAGATCAGATCAGCCTATAACCCCAGCCCCAGATGATCCAATCCCCTCTTTTAAGGTCTACAGGCACTTTCACTCATGTGCACATGCCAACACACAAACACATGTTTAAAAATAATAAAAATGAATCTTTACAAAATGATATACTCCAACATTTAGACAGTGATGGTGAAATTTCTACAGTTCACTTTTAGCATGCATGGAGGAGAGGGACTTGTTGGTGAATGCAATCATTAACTATATTTCTTACATGTCATAAATTACCACTTTAAGTTTATTTCAAACCATGATCTCTCCATATTCAACAAATATCATCCTTTACAATTAACAAAATAATTTAACATAAAAATAATCAAGTCCAAGAAATAAAGAAGGAAATGAACATTAATTTTTAAAAGCATATTTAAAACTGGGGTTGTAATGCTTAAAGATTTTCATTCTTCTTATAACTAAGCTATTATAAAAAGTCAGTTTAACACTCTTCATATTCTTAAGAACTAAAACTGGACCAGGTACTAGAAACTAAAGAATACATTTGCAAATTATACTCATTTGCATATTACAGCACTTGGCGATTTTCACACTGATCATATCCAATCCTCACAGGAACTGCGTATGCCAGACATGTAACAGAATGCAACTTACCTGCACCTCATCAGCTTCTGTGCTGAACATCTATTATGAGGCATCTATTATCAGGACTTTCCTTTGCAAAAGCTATACTGCATGCTTAACTGTACTTTTTAATTACAAAATAAATTCCTCAAATACCAAGACAATTCTGCTTTGCCTCTGTGTAAGATTTTACACAGACTTTCCCTATTACTTGGAAAGTAATGTGTGTTAGATTAATACATGAATCAATGAAACTGGAAGGCAACACTTGGCAGAGCTAGCATCAGAACATCAGTAATTAATCATAGGATCTATTCCCTATACATTCACAAAGAGGAAAAGTACTAAGGGGGTGAAAAGTGGAAGCTACACAGTCAGACTGGCCTAATTAATCCATAGCCTACTCATGGCCTGATAAAATAAAACTTAACCAATAAGGCCAGTCAGACTTAGTATTGACACAGTACCTGCAAAGCACTTAGTTCACATGGGTCACAATTATCCCTATCATGTAAGTAGTTACATGTCAGGACAGAAAGTTAGCCTTCTTTCTCAAAATGTAACTTGGACCTCCATTGGTCCTTAATCACTGACCACAGAAGTACACATGGCAAAAAGGGACTTTTACTCTATTCCTACCTTCTTATCCCTCAAGACTATGATAACAAAAGAAACAGTCAAAAGTGCATTCACTAGCTCTGTAATCCACCAGATGTTCAAGTGAATCCTCAGAGTTTAATTTTACTAAAGTAGGAGAAATTAAGTTTCTCCTTACCTTTTCTAAGTTTGTATATTTATGCCTTCTTTCCATTTATCTTAATTTATGTTAGTACCTGACATTTAAGACATATCTATTTCTTATGTATGAGTGTTTTGCCTTCATATATGTATATCCATCATGCCCAAACTTGTGCCCCAGAGGTCAGAAACAAGTATCTGATCCCAGGGAACTGGAGTAATGGATGCTTCTGAACCACCATGTGGATGTTGGGAACTGAACCCAGGTCTTCTAGAAGAGCGGCAAGTACTCCTAACTACTGAGCCTTCTCTCTAGTCCCAGTAGCTGGTGTTTTATTGACATATTCAACAATCAACTTACACACCCTCCATTTCTTTCGGTTTCCAAATTATTTATAAACACTCAGGTTAAAAACATATATAGATAAAGTCCGACTGCAAAGGAAGAATAAACCAGTCAGTCTCACCCTTTCTCCATAGACAGTGTTAGTCATGCACCTGGCCAACTCAGCTCTCTATCAGTCTATGGTATGAGAAATACTTGAAGCAAAGTTACATGTGAAATTTATTTGAAAGGACACCAAAACATTTATCCTTTTCAAGTGTTTAAAAGAGTTAAAAATAAGCAAACAACCAATGCTACTACTCCTTCCAGGTTCCATCTTGGAAACACACACACACACACACAACAAACACACACACACACACACACACACACACACACACACACACACACACGACAACCAGAGCAGCTGTAGGAGGTTACTCTGATCGTCACATCTTCTTTAAACGTCTTGGAAACTATCATTCTTATAAATAAAGCAACTCCTATCATTTAATCATCAGCTCCACAAGAACTCATGACCATGTTTCTTTGAAAATTTTTATAACAAATCATTGGAATTTCTCTTCCATGTAAAATATGAAAGGATGAGGAAACCAAAATCAAAAGGCCCTGTTACTAAACAGCTGGTATGCTTAATGGAATCAACTGCTCAATCACACATTTCAACAGCTTTCTCTAAAAGCACATTAAATATGATGTAAAATTTCCTTCAAAGCATAATTTATGATTGTATCATTACTGCCCATAATCATTACTATGAATAATTTCAATAAAATTCACAAATTCTTACTTGGTGACTATTTTCAACTAATGAAGATATGCTATTTTTAAAAAGCCATACCTTGGTCAATTTCACTTAACTGTTGATTCAGAAAAGAATTAGAAGAGTCTTTCAGATCTTCATAACCATATTCTTCTACAGGGTTGTCACGTCGTGAGTAAATAAACTGAGCAGCTAGAATACAAAATGAAGAATTCTGTAATATAGCCAGTTCCCAATTTTTTCATATTTTTTAACACAAGATAAAAGAGATGGGACTATATAATCCATTGCTAAAGCACTGCCCTAGTATGTATAAGGTCAGGACATGAACCGCTCTGCTTCTCTTTCCCATCTCTCCACACATTATCTTCCCACCCCTCCATCACACACTCTATCTTTCCCATCTCTCCATTATGTATTTGTTTGACATTGTGGCACTAGCTGGTCAATGTACACCACAAGCATGCTATGTGTCCTCGCAGATCAGAGAAGCATTGGCTCCTCTGGAACTGAGGTCATGGATGGTCCTCTACAAGAACAGCAAGTGTGTGCTTAACCACTGAGCCATCATCTCTCCAGCCCTCAACAGGCCCTAAGTTTTTAACAACTCATTTTCTAATCATAGAGTGATGCCATAAACCAGTGACATATATAGAAAACTTTGACTTTGAGATATTGGGACATCATTCAATATGGAATGCAATTGGTATTAAGTATTTCATTAAAAGGAAGAAAGAATATGTAAAAATGCCAATATATGCCTATGATTCAGTTATCATCCAAGCCCAAACTATGGACACATCTATCTCAACTGGATGCCTACTAACCTTAATCCTCAAAACTGTTCAACTGCAAGGAAGAGAAGTTACTATGTTAAAAAGTACAGAAACAAACGTAGTGCTATAAACCAAGGCATTGTGGGGCCCACTGCACAGAATTCCTACTTTTGACTTTTGAGCATGGTTGCAGGGAGGTATTAATGCTGAAAGAGAAACTAACTCTAAAATATATAATGTAGAGAGTATAAACTTGCAGCCCATACGTAATATTTATAATCAGAAATCAGAAGCCCATGAGCCAAAGACCATGTAGATTAGCAATGGAGGAAAGAAAGAAAGGAAGGAAGGAAGGAAGGAAGGAAGGAAGGAAGGAAGGAAGGAAGAAAGAAAGAAAGAAAGAAAGAAAGAAAGAAAGAAATTAAGAAAGAAGGGGGAGAAAGAGGGAGGGAGAGAGGAAGGAAGGAAGGAAGGAAGGAAGGAAGGAAGAGAAAGAAAGAAAGATTTGTAATGGCACACTTTAAAATTCAAATGAGTAACACAGTTAACAAGTACTAGAGAAACAAAGTAATCACTGGAAATATTGCAGTTACAATAAAGGGGGTTAAGAACAGAAAAAAACTAATGACTAAACGAATGGAAAATTCAATACATGCAGAGAAAATGAGAAGTAAAATGCATGTTTTCTTTCCTCAGATTAGGTCATCATAATTGGTAAATAAGGGTGTGAAGATGCTTCAGTCTAAAAAATGACACTCTGACACAACACATCAGCACTCTTTGGGAAGTCTGATCCTTACTGCCCTCTAACTACCCTGGGACCACACTCTCAGCCACAGCCTTGTTCCAGGAACATTACTCACTCTTTACACCTCGTTAAGTCAGGCTTCTGCCTTTGCAAACTCTAGAGTCCTGCATCTGCATCCATTAGGAAGCTAACGCACATCTCCAGAGCTACAGGCAAGCCAGCACTTTCACTAAGACCTTTACTGGCTTTGTCGTAATCTTATTTTTAGTCTTACTTTTGAACATTACAAAGTATTTCAGAATGTATACACATGTATGTGTATCCTTGTTTTAGAAGTCCTTGCTAGTGGCTGGGATTGCCACAGTGGTCAATAGAATAAGGAACCAAAGAGGCTGAGGTCAGGAAAGAGACAGAGGGGGTCAGGGATCAGGTCAGGGGGCAGGGGGCAGGGGGCAGGGGGTAGGGGGCAGGGGGCAGGGAGCAGGGAGCAGGGGATGGGAGGCAGGGGGCAGTCCAAGAAGTTGAAATCAAAGCCCAAAAGGCAACTAACTAGTACAAATAAAAATCAAAGCAAGGGTTAGAAAATAATAAATGTATAATGTTTTTCTTTAAGATTTTAAATATTAAACTTCGGTTCATTTTCTAAGTTACCCATAGTAATTTTTAATGTAAGGGATTTTGACATACATGAAAGTCCAAGGAATTCCAATGCTATGTCCTGAAACTGCCTACAACCATTTCCTACACATTTGTGTGCTAATTAAAGACACAGCTCTCAACACCCTTCCTGGAGCGTATGATATGGTGGTGCTGGAAAAAAGCAAGAAAACTGTATTTAACCATTACTCTCCACTTTTTCATCCCAGCAGGGTAAGAAACAGCCCTGTGAGACATGGTGGGCACTTAACCCAGCACTTGAGAGGGAGAGGTGTTACGGAATAATCCTTCCGTACACTATGAATATGTATTACTCACTGGCAAGGCAGGATAAAGGTAGGCAAGACAATCAAACAGAATGATGGTACAAAGAGGGGCAGAGCCAGAGAGACACCCACCAGCCCAGGAAGCAAGACAAGCTAGCGGACAGATAAAGCCACAAGCAACGAGGCAATAGATTAATAGAAATGGCTTAATTTAAATTTAAGAGTTAGCTAGTAACAAGCCTGAGCTATCAGCCAACATTTGTAATTAATATATGTCTCTGAGTGATTATTTAGGACATTGTGGTCAGGACAGGAAAACTCCACATACACAGAGGCAGGCAGATCTCTGTGAGTTCAGTGTCAGCTTGGTCTGCATATTGCTTTCTAGGACACCCAGAGCTACATTGTGAGACTGTGTCTTGAAAAAGCCAAACAAATAAAAACCAGAAGAAAAAAAAACAAACAAACAAAAAATTGTTCTGCAAAGTCCCACCTCCAAGCAGCCAGTGTATGGTCTACTATACTAGTCTACTTTGTACATACATCATCATGAGTCACCTGCTAAATTCTTTCCTTGTTCAAATGCCTCCAGTCAAAGCTGACACAGACTTACAATGAAAAAAAAAGCTTTCATAATCTGGTTCACATTTCCTGTTCTGGTTCCTATTTCCCATCCCAGTCTTCTTTCATGTTGTAAGTTGTATGACTTTTGTGAGTCTGCCAAAACAAACACCATTCAGTAAACATCACTCTAGCTACCTAATTTACTAGCCCACTCACCTCTCCTGTCAAACATGTTCAGGGTTGTTCTCTGCCCATCAGACCACAGCAGTAAACTGTCTGAACAGGACCGCACACAGCTGCTTTTCAGCAAAAAGACCAAAGCGGGGGATAGGGGGATTGGGGTGTCCTTCTTACACACAAATTGATGCTGAGTAAAGGTTCTAGACTAAAATATGTCAAAGAACTACTTCCAACTTACATTAATTGAAACAAGAAACACTATTCAAATTGCTTTTCCTGGTTCTTTTGCTATTACTGTCCTGACATACATTCAATAATCAGTATGACAAATCTTTCTAAAGGAAATTTTTAAAGAGCTACATTTAAAAATCACCTTTTATCAAGAAGAACAGAGGCAGGCAGATCTCTGTGAGTTTGAGGCCAACCTGGTCTACAGAGCTAGTTCCAGGACAGGATCCAAAACAACACAGAGAAACCCTGTCTCAGAAAAACAAAGAAAAAAAGGAAGAAAGAAAGAAATCAAAAACACATGTGACTAAAGTTCAGAAGTTTCTATTAATTAGCAAAGCAACTCAATTACAGGCTTCATTAGACCATGAGTATAATATGTGCACCTCTTCAATGAACAAAAGAAAATAGATTTTTCTTTGCTGAGCTACTCCACACACTATTTGTTCATTAACCCCTAAAGGAGAAGTACTCTTCTAAAGGGCATTGATACTATGAGGCCTACCCGATTGTGAAAGAAGAAACTGCTACCATTAGGACAGACTGTGAACATGTCTGCGGAGGCGTTTTCTTTGCATAAACCCTTTCCTCTCCAGGTTGCTTTATGTCCTGGTATTTTGTTTATTTTATTACAGCCACAAAGGAGCAAACTAGGACAGACACTAACAATGACAGCAATAATAAAGAGGTGGCTCTGCTTCACAAACAGCCAACAAAGCCCACAGCAGCAAAATCTACTGCTCCGCCATGACAGCTACTGCTTTAAGTAACAGCAACTATTCTAAAAGTATTCATTCCTCACTGGAAATAACTTGGAAACATACCATAAATAAATAAATAAATAAATAAATAAATAAATAAATAAATAAATAAATAACCTAGGCCCAGCACATGGCACTCGGGCTTTTAATCTTAACTTCTGGGACTCTGAAACAGGGAATCCCAGTCTACATGTTAGCCTGTGCTTCGTGCTATGTTCCAAGCCAGCATAGGCTAAAGTGTTTTCTGGTCTAATGCTACTGTTATGCCACACATTTTCCTTTTCTTGACTGTTCTTGGCAGTATTTTTGTTACTGCTAGCTTCTGCTTGATGGTGTTGGGGGAGAGGGATCACACCCAGGATCTCACACATGCCTACTAAGCTACATTCCCCACCTGTAAATGTTCTAGAAAATAAAAAATTCATATTCAGATGCTTTTGTTAAAAGTAAGTTTATCAAAGAAGCAAAAGTACTTTAACTACCTACTGTTTGGTGATGTCAGTAGACTTCCAATTGTACAAAAAAAGTAACTTGCAGCTAGGGTTTCCAGAATCTGAACAACACAGGATGCACATCAAGCCATGAGAGACACACAGAAGTCTCTGATCAAGGAGTCAAGTAAGTCAGGCCATACATGTAAACCTCAGGAAAACAGCTTATGAAGGAATAACTTTTGTACTGTTAGCACACTAGGTAAATGTGGCCTATCTAGACTATTAACTTGCATTAATTGTAAGCAATCGTTGCTGTATGGAGAATCCACTTTTATACAAACCATATTCAACAAACCCTGTAGATCTCAACTTGTTTCTGAGACATGGTCTCTCTTTGCCCTAGCTGCCCTAGAACTTTCTATATACACCAGGCTTCAAACTCACAATCAGCCTGCTTCTGACTCTTGAATGCTAGAATTAAAAATGTGTGCTACTGCACCTTGCAGACCTAGACTCTTATAAGCTTCTCAAATCTACATTTAAGTATTACTACTCTTTCCCTAAATAAATGGTTCTCAAATGTCAGTCTAATATTCCAAAAATTTCTGGTATGATTTACTACTGCCCTCAGAGGTCTTAGACTTTCACTAAGGACCAATTAACATTTCAGTGGCTTTATATTAACTGCATGATACAGAGACTATTAGAAAAGAGGTCTTCAAAACTTCCCTTAAACTGTTTAAGTTTTGTTTAAAATGGACAGTGAGTAAGAGCTCTTACTATACAACCATGACGGTCTGAGTTCAAATTCCTAGTACTCATGAAAAAAAAGCAGGTGTCTATAAAGCCACTGCTTTGGCTCCCAGAGACAGCAGGGTCTCTGAGGCTTGCTGGCCACCAGCCTAGGAGAGGCCCTGTCTCAAAGGACTAAGTTAAAGAGTGAAACACAACACATGAGGTTCCCCTCCACATCCCCAAGTACACACAGAAGTGTGCACCTACACAAACATATAACACACACACACATATAACACCTACACAAACATATAACATACACACACATATAACACACACACATATAACACCTACACAAACATATAACACACACACACATATAACACACACACATATAACACACACACATATAACACACACACACATATAACACCTACACAAACATATAACACACACACACATATAACACACACACACATATAACACACACACATAACACCTACACAAACATATAACACCTACACAAACATATAACACACACACACATATAACACACACACATATAACACCTACACACACATATAACACACACAAACATATAACACACACACAAACATATAACACACACACATATAACACACACACACATATAACACACACACACATAACACCTACACAAACATATAACACACACACACACATATAACACCTACACAAATATATAACACCTACACAAACATATAACACACACACATATAACACACACACACATATAACACACACACACATAACACCTACACAAACATATAACACCTACACAAACATATAACACACACACATATAACACCTACACAAACATATAACACCTACACAAACATATAACACACACACATATAACACACACACACATATAACACCTACACAAACATATAACACCTACACAAACATATAACACACACACATATAACACCTACACAAACATATAACACACACACACATATAACACCTACACAAACATATAACAACTACACAAACATATAACACACACACAAACATATAACACCTAAACAAACATATAACACCTACACAAACATATAACACACACACAAACATATAACACACACAAATAACACCTACACAAACATATAACACACACACATATAACACCTACACAAACATATAACACACACACATATAACACCTACACAAACATATAACACACACACATATAACACCTACACAAACATAACACCTACACAAACATATAACACACACACAAACATATAACACACACACAAACATATAACACCTACACAGACATATAACACTTACACAGACATATAACACCTACACAAACATATAACATCTACACAAACATATAACACACACACATACACTCACACCAAAAAAAAAATTTTTTTAATTATTCATGGGCAAAGAAATTCTTACAGGTGAACTTGGGGAATACTTACAAACCCATCTAAGTATGGCTAAATCTAGAAGATCACCAGGAATTCAAGGCCACCCTGTACTATATTATATAATGTCTACTTTTTGTTTTCAAATAAACCATTATAAAAACTTTAAATTTTAACATGTGAGTATATAGACACACATACATGTGTCTGTTTAAATTTTGTTTTGTTTGTTATGAACAGGGTTTCTTTCTGTAGCCCTGGCTGTCCTGGAATTCACTCTGTACACCAGAGATCTGCCTCCTCTGCCTCCCGAGGATGGGATGAAAGGTATGTGCCACCACTGCCCAGCTACATCTTCCTAAAACTTACACATTAGTCTTAATGATTCTAGTCCAAGGTAACAGTCATACTTACTTGACCTTTTTAAACAGCCAAATCAAAGAAATCTGGTTTGTCTGTGGTTTGGGGGGGTTGTGGGGGTTACAACTTACCTGTTGACGGTGAAATACAATAATCGTCCTCCACAGACTGGCCATACAAATCATCGTCTTCAAAATCTAAAACACAAAACAGATTCATTACAAGTTCAATCACATCTTCTATATTCATGAGCAAACACCTGAATCATCTATAAGTTAAAACTCTCAAGAAACCTGAATGCCTACTTTTCCAAAAATTCTAAGAATTCTGCCCACAAAGTAGATATTTACTAACAATCTAAACTACTAACAATGTATACTTTTAAAACATACATAAGCCTTCTGTTTTGAAGTTAACTGGGCTTTATTTATTTTTCTCACATCTGTTGTGTGATCAAAAACCAGCAATAATCCTGTAGATGACATATGTGACTTGTCTAACTTCACAAAAAACCTAGGGTAAGATACCCGCTGTTCTCTAGGCAAACATCTTTACAGGGTATACAATCCAACCACAAAGTCACTCTTCACGGAGAGCCCAAAAGCCTGACTTCCGAGACCCGTAAGTCTTAGAATGGAGTTCAGAGTGCAGTCAGTCAGTCAGTCTTAGCGGGGTATGGTCTTGAGATTTTCCCAAGGTTGCTTCTTTCTCTAGGTAATGCTCCAGAAGTCTTCCCTGCCACCTTTACCTTCAGCAGCCTCCTCTAATTTATTGTCTTCAAAGTACAACTCATGCTTCAATGCATGAGAAATGACAGCTCCTTCCAGGAAAAACTTAGTTTAGCCAAGGACCTGGTACACATGTGGCACTAAATTAATGTGTTCACAAGTTAATGAGTCAAACTATTTAAAACCCTGCAAGGAACATAAATTTATTCCAGAGATTCTTACAGAGACATTTTCAGTACAAAGTGTACACATTTCCAGCTCTGTCAACGCCAAAAGTCTAACAGCCCAGAACAGGGTGATTACAAAACTGCATGACAAGTGCTCACCATAGGAAATACGGAGCAATCTGGGAACACACATGTGAAAACTAGAATCTCCCCAAGAACAGAACACTCAAACCAATTCCAAAGGAGAGAGTCAGCCATCTTTCTAGGGCATTCATGCAGCAGGAATGGCACAAATGTCATGGTAAAGAAAAGTAACTGCTACTACTGAATAAAAATATGTGAGTCAATACATAAAACCAGACTGTAGTCCCAAATTTAAAAATGTCATTCACAACCCCAAGAAATATAACTTTAGATATGATATAACAGTCACTTTTACTAGTTCAGGTGATCTAACATATTAAGCATATGGAGAAAATTATTCTCTGCCACCTTCCTAAAGTGATTCACTTCAACAAAATACTGGCATGATTTACTGCATATACAGTGTCAGACCAGCTACTGGACTGACAAAGGTAAAGCAGGGCTTTTAAACTAGCTGAGACAGCCTGCAAATGCACAACACTTGCTCGCCTGCTCTGCACAAAGCCCTGGGTTCCAAAAGCCAGTACTACATAAAGCAGGCCTGCCAGTGCTAGACTGTCCTCTGCACTTGACAGCCAGAATCACAGGCAGGGGATTACAGGCTCATCATCCTTGGCCAGACAGTGAATTCAAGTCCAACAAAGGCTACATGAAACTCTCAAAACAAAAACAAGAAAAAACTAGTAGTTGAGGCAGTCATGAAAAGTATTCCAATATACACTGAAAAACAAAGGTGTTACAAAGAGGGACCAATAGAGTTTAGACCTCAGACTAATGAAATTACAATACCTTTATGAATTTTTAATTATTGAAACTGTAAAAGGAAGTCTAACTGGAAAGAAGACTAGACACTGAAAATGGTTTACACTTCTGTAAGCAGGTAGGGCGAAACATTCCATGACAGGACAGGCTTGGTTATGATGTCACCAATTATTACAAAGAAATATAACCTGACCTCAGGTAGCCAAGATAAGAAGGTATTTAGCACTGACTCAGAGGACACACAACTCTTGTCAATTACTTCACACAGAAATCCTGATCCTTTCTGATTTAGACGTTTTCTTTTAAAGTTGCTCCCGCAGGATTTTGTTACACTGTGTGGAATCTCTCATGTTTTAACCAGCTGCTCCTATACGACAGTCCTTAACTATCTTAAGCTGTACTCCAAGTACTCAGTTATCACTGGATGAGGAAATAAATTACTAAAGAGATGTGTGTCCTTCATTTCGTAGCTATAAAATATCTCCCAGTCCAAAGTCATTACTCAGTGGTAGCAAAACACAAGGCATTTTATACATTCACCACAATATTCTGACAGTGAATGTCTGCAAAGACAGACATTTCAGGCAGACCGGGTCCAAGTCTTCAAACACAGCACAGGCTGTTAGCTGTCCAAGCCTGAGTATACTGATGCTCACAACCTCCCAGGGGAGTCAGTAACAACCAACTTCTTCCACGTTACATGTCCCCAAAAGCAGTAGGTCTTCAATCCTTTTGCATTAGTTCACATTTGTTTTTATGTTTGGCTTCTATGATGCTTATACCTATTATCCACTCATTGCATGGTAGTCTTCCTAAAACCACTTTTAACTCCTTGAGAACATTCATATACATATTTTTTCATTAAAAAAAAAATCAGTGAGTCTCTTTACACGATCTCCCCTCTAGTGTTGCTTTACATTTCCATTTTTAAATACATTTACATTAAGTATTAACAGTCGATAAACGGAGTATACACTTGAACAGCCAGTCGATTTAATTTCTTGAGCCTTTTAAACATGATTCTTCTATTTCTTACGTTCTGAATTTTCAAATTCGTTGAAAATTCTGGTCAAGCGAGGTCATGCAGTCAAAACGCATGAGCACGGGTAAATTATTATATAAATCTAACAGTTTTAGCAGGTCGATTGAATGCAAGCACTAAGCCAGGCTGTTTTATAAATAAGTAATGCCTCGTGGGCACGTGTGAAGGGGAGCTTAAGGGACCAAAGTTAGAAACCGGCGCGAGTCCCCAAATGAAACAATGAGAAAAGAGGCAACGTAGATACCAAAGAGCATCGGATCCCGACGTCGCCAAACCTCGTAGGCCCTTGAGATGCCACACTGTCACCCGTCCGCAAATGGTCAACCCAAAAGGCAGCAATCACGCTATCTTCCTTCCCTAGGGCTCAGATGCCGGACCCTTTCCCTCCCCTCCTCCCCTCCTCGCCACAATCACTCGCCCTAGCGTGGCTCCGGGGTCCGCACTGCAAACCAGGCGGATGTAAAGAGGCCAGGGTCCCAGCTGTTACAGCGCAGATGACCGCCCGGCGCGGCCCTGCCACTCACCTTCATCGTAGTTATAGCCTCGGACGTTCCGGTGCCGAGCCATCGCGGCACACAGGCCGTCAGCCACAGTCCCTCCCAAAGAACTCGGCTCAGACTCGGGCAGGGCGCCGAGCGCAGCCTGGAGACCTCTTCCGCGCCATCTTGGCTTCCGCCAGACCTCGGCGCCAAGCGTCTGCGCAGACGCGACGTCATACCTGCGCTCTAGGCGACGGCAAGCTCTCAGGGTCACAGCCTGCCTCCCAAAGACGCATGCGCATTCGCGAGGCGGCGCAAGGCCCCGCCCACAAGCAAGTTGACTGACGTGGCTTTCAATGCCGGAAATCCTTGCAGCTATGGCCACGCTATTGATGACTAGCTGGGATCTTTGACCTACAACAGCGTTCAGGATTGTTTTCCATATTTGGTTTTTGATCCTTTGGGAAGCTGCCTGTTTGGCTCAGTAAGAGCAAGGACTCTGCTTCAGCTTTTAGGCTGTAGGTAAACACGATAGGCGTCCACAAACATGTGTAACTGTAGCATAATAATTAGTCCAAGCTTTAGAAGGAGAAAGACTTTTTGAACAAGTAATTAAAATATAGCTACACTGGGTCACTATGCTTTGCGGATAATTCATGGCTTCAGGTATCCTCCTTTAACAGCTCTGATAAACAACTGTCTGGCCTTAGCTATGTAAACTATTTTCATTAACACGGATTAATTAAGAGAGATGTCTTGGGCGTTGATTGGATACATAAACATGTGAACTTGCTAAGAGCATTTAGTACAAGCTTTTCAGATAGCACTATCCTTGGGTGCTTGTGATGTAATACATAATACATAAATCTATAACCTGTTATTAAACATCCTCGTTTCGTAAAACATAAGGCTAATAATGCAGTGTAATAGAGCATCAACCTGATTATCATAGTGAACAACCTCTTTGTTGTAGCTTGTTTTTGCAATGCTAAGACCTTGTATCAAAGGCAAATGTCAAATTCTACCTTACTCAGCTTTTCTTATCCACAATAATAAGAAAACACAAATTAAATTCATATTTGTAAATGGCTCAGGTTTGAGTTCTGACTTCTGAATGGTTATTCTTAACTATCATTGTTTAATATGGCTCCAAGGCAAAAATTTATGCAAAAAAATGTAGATGCTAACTTTATATGGTTTTAAGTGTTTTTTTAATTTTATACCTTTAAATGATTTCTACATTGCAGCATATCTCTTTGTAAGTGAAGATAATATCTTACTCATATATTATCTAACTAAAATTGTTAAATGATATTTGCCCATGTAAGAGAACTTAACACAGAACATTAAGGTGCTGAAAAATATTAAATGTGCTGGATATGGTGACTCATTCGTTTAACCTCTTGGTAGATGGAAGCAGGAGGATTGAGAGTTCAAGGTCATCCTCGGCTACACAGGGAGTTCCAGGCCAACCAGAAATATTTGAGACCCTTACATATAAAACTTAAACACAAATGACAGCTTCTCTTCCACTGTAATCATCAACACTGCTAACCACAATTCACTGATGCAACTCTTGGAATAAATGAGTTATGAATTGACCATACAAACAGTGCAGGGCAGTGAACAAGGAAACATTCCTCCTTCCTGAGAGATGACACATAATTTGGCTCTGGGGACCAGATCACTTACTTGTGCTTGTTAGTTTCATTGCCAACTTGACATAATTTGGAGTCACTGGAAATTGGGAAGCATTGATGATTGATGTGGCAGGCTCCAGTCTCCTCTGAAGAACACCCTCCCCAGGTAGGTGGGCCTGAGCGGTATAAAAAGCTAGCTGAGCCTGAGCCAAAGAGTGCGTCAGTAAGAGGTGTTCTTCTGTAGTTTCTGCTTGAGTTCCTGCCCTGACTTCCCTCAGTGATGGATTGGAACTTTGAAGTGTGAGCCAAACTACTTCGTTCCCCAAGTGGCTTTTGGTCAGTCTTTTAACACAACAACAGAAGGAAACTGGAATGCTACCTGTTGATAGTGACATTGAAGTAACATTGGAAACAATGAACAGCACATACTTAAAGTCTATAATTTTAAATTTTAAATATATGTAAATGCTAGCAAAAGCATGAAGACAATGAACATATGCAGACTCCCAAGCACTTGTGTACAGAATACAAAAATCCATCATGTCCACAGAGCCCTCCTTCCTCCTTGACTCCCCAACATGGCCTTTGGCAACAGCTGATCAGCTTTCTCTCACTAAATATGTTTGGTTTTTTTTTTTTTATTTCATGTGGATGAAAGCTGGCAATATGTTTTTTTTAATGCAGAGTAGATCTTTTGAGATTCATAGGTGCTTAGATCAATTCCTTTTTCTTTCAGAAAGAATTCCATCATATAGGAATGTAAGAGAAAATGCAGGCATGAGCTGGTGGCCAGCCTACTTGGCACACAGCACTTCTAACTAAGAAGCATGGCCCACCATGCTGCTAAAGTCAGAACACAGAATTCTAAAGTAGCATGAGTAACAGGTTGCAGGCCCCTGGAGAATCGGAACTCTTCACATCTCCTCTAACATGTTTCTTCTACACAGAGGCTCTGGTGGTAAGAACTCTCACTATCCAATCCAAAGTAATGTGCTAATCAATCACAGTCCATTGGCTTCTGTTATGTAAATGGTTACTCATGTGCAATAAACCAGACACTGTTCCAGAAACTGTCTCCAAAGTGGTTTATCTCCACTCCCTTGACCAACCCATGGGCATTGCTGTCTTGTCAGGGGATGTCCTGGTAACAATGACATAGAAATACCAGTTTGTATTCTTCCATTAATCTATTGATATCAACTTTGGTTGTGTCCAATGTTGACTACTGCAAATAAGACTGCTGTGGATAGTCATTACAAATACTTGTATGAAAATCATGTCTACTTTTCCTAAACTATGTTACAGACACCTTTTGGGGGGAAAAAAATGCCAGCACTAAGAATGGAGCTCAGTGGTAGAACACTTGCCTCCCGTACGTACCATGGTTACAATCTCCAGTACCACAAAAGGGAAAAGAACAGAAAGTACCCAACAGTTTCCAAATGTGATTGGACCATTTTACATAGCCCTGAACAATGGAGTTGCACTTTTTCATAGCCGTCCAGAACTTCTCACCATCTGAGGATATTTGATGCTCCAATGAGTTCTTCAATGATGTGTCTTTTTAAGACCCCTTGTTTGGCTGATAATGGTATGCTTGTTTTCTTATTTCTGAGTCTGGAGAATACGTCTTATATTATGGATAATATTTATTTATCAAATGTATAATTTGGCAATATTTCTCCCAGTGTGTGATTCACCTTTTCATTCCTTCTTATAGGGTGGGAGATGGAACTCAGGGTCTTGTGGATGCTAGGCAAGTGCTGGGCCACTGAGATGCATCCCCAACTCTTTTCATTTCTTTAATAGTGTCTTCTGAGAAGAATTTTTTGTTTTGATGAAGTCCCATTTATTTATTTGTTTATTGGCTTTAATGGATTGTGCTATTGATTTTCCGCCTAAGGAATGTTCACCATAACAAAAGTCACATAAAATTTCTCCTGTTTTTATAGTTGATAGTTTGAGGCTTTACATTTAGGTTTATGATGCATTTTCCGTTGAGTGTTGTGTGTGATGCAAGCTTAGATCCAGTCTACTTCTTGAAAAACGGCTGTTTCTTGTTCCAGCACCATTTGTTGACTGAGTTCTCCACTGACTCAGTCTGCACTGTCTTCACAGAAGTGGCTCTGGGTGGGAGGTCATTCTCCACTCTCCATTGTATAGCAGTAATATTGTATTAATAAATCTTGAAACAAAATAATCTTTTTTTCTTTCTCTTGTTTTCAGACAGCATCTCACTGTGTAGCACTGACTGGCTTAGAATTTGCTATATAGACCAGGCCAGCCTTGAACTCACAGAGATCTGCCTGCCTCCTCCTCTCTGGGTGCTGGGGTTAAGGTGTGAACCATCACATGTAACTAAAATATTCCAACTTTGTTCCACTTTTTCAAAGTTCTTTTATCTAAGTTAGACCTTTGTCATTTTGAAATATGCTACATTATCATAAAGTAGTATTCTGGGGTACCAAGATAAATACACGGAAAGATGTAATTTAAACTAAAACTAGAAAGCATCAGTAAGGAAAATAAAGTCACATGAAATGAAGAGATGGGGACTGGAAAGGTGGCTCTAGTCAGGAGCACTTGCTGCTCTTCTTAGGATCAAGAAGTTTTCCCAGCACCCATGTAATGTGGCTCCCACCATCCCAGAACTCCAGATCATGGGATCCCATCCCTTCATCTGGCCTCTGCAAACACCCTCACCACCACCCCCGATACACACATATACACATAAAGTAAATAATGATGATGATAATAATAATAATAAAACAAATGAAGAAATGAGCTATGTCAACTACTTGAAAGTATTATTTTGTTAAATGAGAGAATGCCAATTTTCCCAAAATTGATCCTTATTCAGTGTTAGCCCCAATAAAAATTTAATTTTTGGTGGAAATTATTAATCAGATTCTGCTCCTGTTTATTTGTTTCAGAAGTGGGTTTTGAATGCAGGGTCTTGTACATTTTAGTTAAGTACTCTACCATTAAGCTACATTCCCAAGTTAACAATCAGATTCTGTAACTCACAATTTATAATTTCAATGTAGTTTAGGAGTATTGGACAATAAAATCCCGCAAGAACTGCAATGTGCGTCTGTAATCTCAATGCTGAGAAGACAAGAGCAAGAGGATCCCTGGCACTCACTGGCTAGTCAGCCCAATGGGCAAGCTCCAGGTTCAGTGAGAGACCCTGTTTCAAAACATAAGATGGAGAGTAACCGAAGAATATAGCAGACATTGATCTCTGACCTACACACACACACACACACACACACACACACACACACACACACACACACACACACAAATAATAAAAACCCAGAGACGTTTGGGGGTTCAAGCTAAAGATCAGAAAAGCACTAGAGAATTCTTACCTTCACCAAGGCTCAGAACAAAAGGGACGATCCTGTCCTCAGAGTGACTGCAGACTGACTGACTCCTGTCTCCTCCCATCTTATAGTCCTCTCTAGTGCTGGTATTAAGGGTATGTACCAGCCCA